AAGAGGAAGCGTGATCTTTGGTTTAACTGGAACATTTCTCTACCGTCCCAGCTGAGTGCCCTAACCAGTAGGCAGCAGTCACGTTTCCTCTTTGCTCTTTTTTGGCCAGCGCGCCTGGCACAGTTTCAATAGAACTGAGAAAGTGCCCCTGTGCAGAAAAACATATAGACTAAATACAGACAATCAAAAAGCCTGAGGCTTAATGGGTTCAGTCTTTGCAGGTTAGTCTAAAATGAAGAGATTAAACTGAGAAACAACTGGACAGCCCAGGGCTGGAAAGCATGCTGGGATGCTGGGGGACTATGATTTAACTTGAACCAGGAAACGGTCTGGGACAGAAATTTCATGAACTGGTTTGATCCAAATCAGTTAAGTCTGATACTACATTCAACCATGTTTATCGTAAACCAGTTTCAGTCATTTTGAAACTAGCTTATGTGCAATGAACTTCTGTTCTGTTACAGGTTTAAACAAGTTTCTGATCACTTAAACTGGTTTATGTGTAACTTATGTCCCTAGCCATAAGGAGTTTAATAGGAGTGCACCAATATATCAGCTGGCTATCAGATTGGCAAAGGAGAAATGACATTGTTGGCTATTGTCAGACAAGGTTCTTTGGGTAAATCTGGTATCTTTTATTAGACCAACTCAATTAATCGAGTTGAACCTCGTCTGCCTATGTCCTTAGACCATCACGGCTACAACCTATACCCCTATTGTTGGCTATTGGCATTTTTAGATGGTTGTAGGCAATAATTATGGCTGTGTGCCTGGAGCACCCTGATGAACATAGTCCGATCCTTGCACCCTGCCACCAGCCCGAGCCCACAGCAGACTACAGGTCCCAGTGAGCAGCGGAAGGGGGCACCAAGGAGCAGTCATGCTAGGGCACCACAATCAGCAACAAAGGGACCTCCTGCTGCTGCCATGGCAATACCACATGCATAGCAGGGGATTGAGCGCCAAGGCTGCCATAGAAATGTGCTGCATGCAGGTGGGGTAAGGCTCATCGCAAGGGACATTCCACTCCACTGGGCACCGGGAACCTTTCTAAAAGCAGCTTCTTCCTGGTGGCTACAGGACTTGGCTGTGTGGGGCCCACCAGTGGCAGCAGTGTGCTCCAGTGCTCCAAAAATGTCTGCTGTCTGTGCAAGGGTCCACCCCGCCCACCTGGGATGGCAACGCAGTCTGTGCGGGGAGCAGGGCTGTGGGTAGGAGCTGTGAGCGAGGGGGTGATGTGCATGGGAATAAGGTGGTTACTACCTTCGTCATTAAGGGCTGGCGCAGGTAGGAAGCGTGTGTGTGTGAAATGCAAAACAAACAAAAAAAGCATTTATGTATGTCAGTAGTTTAAAATGCTTTGCATTAAATAACGGTTATCAGATCAGCATTGGCTGATACGATTGGTTAATCATAGACTATCAGGTACTGGCCATGAGTATCTTTATTGGTGCACCCCTAGTGTTTAGAATACTGTCTAGGACAGGGGCTGTCAACCACAAGTATGTGTACCCCCGGGGATATTTGAGAAGGCCCTAGGGGGTACGTGTGGGCGAGTGAGGACGGAGCACCACCACGCGCCATCCCGTGCAAGTGCTGCCCACATGGCTGGACATGGTGGGGGCAGGGGAAGGTCACATACGGTAGCTGCTGCCGTTCTGCATTCAGCCACATGACACCCCTCTCCACCCCCATATCTGGCTGCCAGGGGTATACCGCTCCACTTGCAGCTGCTGGGGGTACACTGACCCAAAAAGGGTGAAAGTTCCTGCTGTATGGAGTTGGGAGATGGGTTCTATCATAAGTCTGAATCCTTCAGATTGAGGAGGAAATTGAATCTATGTGGACCATACTATGTGTTCTCTAATCATTCGGCTGTTGTACAAAAGGGCCACGTCCATACAAACGCACATTGTTTTCCCAGGGACAAGAAGTAGTGGCATGCTTTGTGCTGCTGCTGCTCATCTCCATGGAACACCTGTGCCACGTGCACTCTGGCGCACAGCAGGTTACCCTGAGTGGGGTTAGGGGAGGCTGGGGCCAGCAACTGTAGTGTCCCCACCAGCCTTACCTGGGGTCCTGGGGAGCTGGAGAAGCTGCAGTCACAGCTGCAGTGCTCCTACAGCTGAAGTTTGACTCTGGCTGGCCAGGCTCTGGTTTTGGGTGTTACATGGTGCCCTGCTTTTTTTTCCCACGTGGGTTTTTTTGACCCCCAGAGATGTCCCAGGATCAGTACTCCCCCCCCCCCCCCCCATGCTGTAAGGTAGCAATGAGACTGCCTGAATGTGAGGTGTGTGGTACCACATAGCGCATGGCCACACTTGTTTAGGCGCAGCTAAGGAGGGGAGGGAAATGACACTATATCGACTCCTCATCAAACAAAGATTTTAGGTGCCACTGTGCCTTGAATAGAGCCCAGCTCTTTCGGCATGCATTTGGTTACATTCTTAGCATGCCTTCTGAACCAGATCCCTCAGAGGAAGTGGGCTGACAAATGCCCACTTCCTGGATTCCAGGAGAGCTTAGGTGTAAGCTGGCCCATGATTCTCAGTGTTTATAGACTCAAGACACCCCTCAGAAAATTCCAGCTTGTTTTTGACGCCACAAAAATAATAGAGCAATTCTCCTGTTGCAAGGAACTCTGAAAGACCACATCAGGTCAGAATTTTTTTGACACTCTGGATTCCTATTTGAAATTTCTGGGTTTATTTTGTGAATCATGCGAATGTTTGCATACCAACATGAGTGTCACCCTTAAAAGAATCTCACAGCACCCCAGGGGGCTGAGACACCCTGGTTGAGAATCACTGAGTTAGGCACCAAGCTGCTTATCCTTGTCAAGACTTGTGGTACTTCCAAGCATGTACAGGAGTAGAACTTTAGTTGTCTGGGGAATTTTATTTGCAAAAAGTTAGATGTTTATAGAGTTAGACCAGAATTTTGAACTTCTCACTCTCAACCTGGATGCCTAAATTCCATCCGAGTTGTTGTTGTTTGTTTCCTTGTTTGTTTGTTTGTTTTGTTCTCAGGTATCTTACCCATGCTTATATTGGAATTGTGACAGTTAGAAATTGAATCTGGGTCTCCTGAGTACTTCCTTAACTGCTAAATCATGTTTAGTCTCTTCAGTGAGTTTTGGATGAGGCTCATGGAAAAAGAGAAAACTGAGAATAAAATATGATAATAGCAAGAAAAAGTTATAAATACTAGTTTCTTTCTTTCCACTCTGTATGCAATTGTTGTGGTAAAATGTTAGCTATAAGATTCTTTTTTAATTGTATCTTCCAGGACCTCCAACAGCAGTCAAACTCTGTCTTCTTCTCAAACAATGGAGCCTTGTACATCAGATGAATTTTTTCAGGCGCTCAACCATGCTGAACAAACCTTTAAAAAGATGGAAAACTATCTGAGACACAAACAGTTATGTGACGTAGTATTAGTTGCTGGTGATCGTAGAATTCCAGCTCACAGGTAAATATCTAAAAGATATTTTAGATATATAATAAAATAAAAATCTATATTTAAAAGGTTCATTCTTATTGAATGAAATTAGTGTGCTTATAATTATGCACCCAAGTTGTGATGGTTCACTATTTTTTCTTTTCTTTTTTTCTTTTTTTTGTTTTAAAGCGCAATATCTGTAAGAAGGAACAGGTTTTGACGAAACAAAAAGTTACAAAGGACCATAAGCTCTGGTTTGGCCATTGCTGCACCCCCAGCAGCACAGGCAGTGACACTACCCTGTGCATCACTGCCATGCACAGTGCTTAGACATCCAGTTATGCCCCTGGGATTGAGGGGGAAATAAACAGTTGTTTTCTATACTTAGATGTAAATGGGGTTAGGCAGCACAGTTGGGACTGAATAGGTAGGGAAACAGGAGTGCATGATAGGGTGGGGAGGAGTTTTCACATGTTGGGGTATCATTTGGGGAGTCTCTTGTTGTGTTTTTTTAATTTAATGGCTGTTTGTCAGTTACTATAAGCTGCTCTGAGCCTTTCTGAATAGGTCAGGATATAAATCTAAATAATAATAATAATTGAAAGTGGGCCAACAATGTAGTTGCATTTAAAACACCAACAAAACAACAGTATCCTGGATTTGATTCGTCACTTGCAAATTGAAGGAAATGATCCTTCTGCTCTATTTGCACTGGTTAAGCTTTACCTGGAGTAAATGGGTTTTTCTCTGTGGCAGTAGGGGATAGGATTAGGAGCAATGACCTCACACTTCAGCAGGGGAAATTTGAAGGAGATTAGGACAAACTTTCTGATGGTGAGAATGGTTAAGTATTGGAATAGACTACCACAATAAGCTGTGGAATCTCTATCCTTGGAAAATTTTAAGAGCAGGTTGGACAAACATTTGGCTGAGATTGTTAAATCAGGGTTGATCCTGTTTTGTCCTGCCAGCCCTGCTTTCCTATGATCCTCAGATTCTATAGCTATAAAGATCCCTCCTCTTGTAATTTTGCACAAACAATTTCAATTAAATTATCGCTGTTTTTTATGCTCACTTCTTGTATTCCCATGGAAAAAAAGTACAATCATAAGATGAAAAATGATGGACCTGAAGCCAATTCCTATCCTGTCCACATCTTTCATATTGTACTTTTACAGTTATGGTTGCTTAAATATTCCAAACTGTATACAAAGGCTTAAGCCTATACCTTTAGTCAGAAATGTTAAATGGAAACCTTTCAAACGATATAACTAGGTTGGTTTTATTTGTTGGCAAAAATCATTTTAAGTTCTGGACCATTCTACAACAAAGACTGGTAACCTACATCCTGCAGACTGGATCTGGCCCACAAAGTAATTGTATTCAGTATATGGAATATATATCTGCTGACCTGAAAGCTATGATCAGCTTTCAGGCAGAATATATATCTGCCTTACTAGACTTGGTACTGGCCACAGGGGATGACTTGGTGGGGGATCTGTAGGTTGAAGGTAACCTAGGGGATAGTGACTACCTATTGATAGGGTGCAGTATCTGGAGAAAGGTGGGGAAGATAACTAGTAGGGCAGAAGTGCTAGACTTCAGGAAGGCCAACTTCAACAAGCTCAGGAGATTAGTTAGGGAGGGACTGACTGGTAAAAGCCTTGGAGAGATGAGAGTCTAGGAAGGGTGGGCATTTCTCAAGGGACTAATCCTGCAGGCACAGAAAAGGACCATCCCAGTACACATAAAAGGGGGCAAAAAAGCAAAGAAACCCTCTTGGTGGAGCAGGGAAACCCAGAAGAGTCTGGAGGTAAAAAAAAAAAAAAAAGAGGCCTACAGGCTGTGGAAGCAGGGGGCTGTCACCAAGGAGGAGTATACCTGCTTGGCTCGAGCTTGCAGGGAAACAGCGAAGAGAGCCAAAGCGGAAATAGAGCTTAGGCTGGCAGCAAAAGTTAAGAATAACGAAAAGTCATTCTTTATGGACATAGGAAGCAAAAAGAAGGTGCAGGGTAACTTAGGGCCCCTTCAGGATGAACTAGGGCAACTGGTAACAGATAGGATGGCCAAAGCGGAGCTTCTAAATTATTTCTTTGCATCCATGTTCCTGGACACTAATACAAATATGCATCCCATTGGGACCTTAGGTAAGACCAGTATAGATACCAACCCACCAACTGTTCATGCTGACCTAGTAAAGGGGCACCTGGAGGGGTTGAATGTATTTAAGTCAACAGGTCCTGGTGATCTTCATCCTAGGGTACTTAGGGAATTAGCTGGAGTCATAGCAGAGCCACTGGCACAACTGTTTGAGCACTTGTGGTGCTCAGGACAGGTCCCAGAGGACTGGAAAGGGGGCAATATGGTCCCTATTTTCAAGAAGGGGAGGAAGGAGGAACTGAGTAACTATAAGCCAGTTAGTCTCACCTTTAGCCTTGGCAAGACCTTTTGAGAAAATTGTTAAGGATCACATTTGTGGGGGACCAGAGGGTAAAATGATGCTAAGGGGCAATCGGCATGGGTTCATAGCAGGCAGATCCTTCCTGACTAATCTGGTTTCATTTTATGACCGGGTCACAAAATGCTTGGATGAAGGAATAGAGGTAGATGTTATTTACTTAGATTTTAAAAAGGCCTTTGACAGTGTCACACCCAATTCTTATAAATAAACAAAACAGTTGCAATGTAGATTATTACACAGTGCGGTAGGTAGAAAATTGGCTTATGGGACGCACCCAGAGAGTGGTGGGGGACGGGTCAGGTTCTACCTGGAGGAATGTGGGCAGCGGAGTCCCCCAAGGCTCTGTCTATTTAATATCTTCATTAGTGACTTGAACAAAGGAGTAGAAAGCACCCTGTCCAAGTGTGCTGATGACACGAATCTGTGGAGGAGGTACACAAACTAGACGGCAGGGAGCAAATCCAGGCTGATTTGAACAGGCTGGGGAAATGAGCTGAACAGAATAGGATGCAGTTTAACAAGGATAAGTGTCATGTGTTGCACCTGGGGAGGAAGAATCATCAGCACATATATATAGCCTGGGAGGGACCACTCTAAGTAGCACAACTGCGGAAAGGGATCTCAGAGTTGTAGTTGACTCCAAAATGAACGAGTCACCAGCGTGATGAGGTAATAAGTAAAGCTAACTGCACCCTTTCTTGCATAAGTAGGTGCATCACAAACAGGTCTAGGGAGGTGATACTTCTCCTCTATGCAGCATTGGTCAGGCCGCAGCTGGAATACTGCGTCATTTTGGGCACCGCACTTCAGGAGGGATGTGGATAGCCCTGAGAGGGTTCAGAGGAGGGCCACTCATCTCATTAAAGGCCTACAGAAAAAAAACCCTATGTGGACTGATTGGGAGACCTTAACCTCTTCAGTCTCCGCAAGAGAAAGCTGAGAGGTGATTTTGTGGCTGCCTACAAACTCATGGGGTAGCGGGGCAGCAAGAAATAGGGGATACAATGTTTACCAGGGCTCCTGGCAGGGTAACTAGAAATAATGGCCACAAACTGGAAGAGAGCAAATTCAGATTGGACATCAGGAAAAAATTCTTTACAGTGAGGGTTGCCAAAATATGGAATAAGCTTCCAAGGGAGGTGGTGCTGTCCCCTTCCTTGGAGATGTTTAAAAGGAGGTTGGATAGACACCTGGCTGGGGTCATCTGACCCCAGCACTCATTCCCGCTCAGGGCCGGG